CAATAATCTAAATGCCAAATAACTCTGGGTGATTTTTGCTGCCGTGGCATGTCAAGAGAACCAGGAGAAAAACGATATGTTGGCTATTTTGGAACTGTACAACTTTTGACACATTACCCCCTTCCTTCTCTACCCATAGGGCACATGCCTCTCCCATTCGTCAGAGAACCTTTGTTCATCCGTTGGCAATACCCCAGAGTCCCTACCTGCCAAAACTTGTGGAGTGCCGAGACCGGTCAATGGAGTTATTAACACGTAAGGCTCTTGCAGAGTGCATCCCCCCACCCCAAAGGGAGGGGGGAATTGAGATGATAATATATGCTCTAACATTTATGCTCCTCAGTGAGCATCCTCGGTTACGAATTGCCTCTTGATGTACTGCAGCTTGTGTGTTGAGTCAAAATCTTCCTGAAGTGTATAGCATTTATTCCGCACCGGTTTATACCTTTCCGAGAAACGTTGCACGGTCCAAATAGAACAGTTTATATCATTTGTTCCCAGCACCAGTCTGTACCTTTCCTAGAAACATTAACACAGCCCACGTTTACAGCTTTTGTTCAGTGCCAGTTCATACCTTTCTTAGAAATGCTATGCAGGCCAGGTATAATACTTTGGAGACAAGCAAATGGAGCCAGGGTATTCTTAAGGGCTTGGAGAGGAAGATTGGCATGGAAGGGAGTTGGGGAGGGGGAGAGAGAAGGGTTCTGTTGTGAAAGAGGACAGTGCTGCCCCAGGTACAGCTTTGACTGAAGGAGGGGCAAAGCTATAGCAGGAAAGAGGAGCACAGCAGGGGTGTGGGAGAGAAGTGTGGGCTTCTGCAGAGGAAAGAGCAAGAGGTTGAGGGTAGGAAGGGCAGGTGGGAGAGGAGAGGCAAAGGGAAGGGTCGTGGCTAAGTGGCCGGGGGCATATTTTGCATGCAAAACCCACATTGTTGAGGCTCCAGCATCTCCAGGTAAAGCTGTGAATTAGCTCTTGGCTGAAGATCTGCTGCCTGTCAGTGAAGGCCAGTAGGGAGTGTCATTTTAGGGGGTGAAACTAAAGTTTTGCAAATTTTATTCAGTGAAGTGTCTTCAAATACGTTTTTTGGGTGTGAGGAATTCAAATCTGCTTTTATTTTTTGTGATCGGATAACATTTAGCTTGGTAAGTCTATGCTCGACGAAGAAGCACATAAACTGCTTTTGGAAAACCGAATTCTATGTTGTCGTCGTTAGCAACAACAAATATAACTGCAAGTTCTTGGCAGTCGTTTTTAATGATTTCTGTGCAATTCTACACACATTTTATCTACCAAGCAAAACTAAATTATATTATTTTAACAAAAATATATTTTGAATTCCCAAGTTATGTTACAATTTTTTAGCACCCCTCATTGGGGGAATTTGAAAGTTGAAAAATTCAACATACCCTAGTAGGCCAGTCTTTATCAATCTGGTGCTCGCCAGGTGCTTTTTTTGGACTACAATTCCCATAACCCCTGGCTAGTGGCCATGCTAACTGGGGCTGGTGGGAGTTGTAGTCCCAGTACCACCTGCCGGGCACCAGGTTGGGGAGGGCTGGGGTGGGCAACGTTGAGCTAAGGAGACCCAGTCCTCTGCCTTGGCACGAGGCTCCTTCCTGCGTTTCTAACAGAGCTGGAGAACCTTAGCTTGCCAAGAGCAGAATATTATCCTAGGACATTAAAGTCTGGGTCTCAGTTCCTCATTACTTGGATTTGCTTTCTGTTTTAAAACAACAGGGATTTGGAAACATTTCACTCATAGCGGGGTTGTGGTTAAGCGGTAGAGACACCTAACACTCTGCTTTTCCCCCTTCTTGGGCAGTCTACAGCCAGGCTTGACAGAGCACGCTCAGGGAGACAGCTCAGACGCCGATGAGTTGTTGCGCAAAAAGCAGAGGCTAAACGTGGCTTCTTCAGCGGCTGATGGAACCTGTGTAGCAGCCCGCACTCGCCCTGTCCTCAGCTGCAAGAAGAGGCGGCTTGTTCGACCCAGCAGCCTGGTGCCACTCTCCAAAAAGGTCAGTGTGGAAGAAGATGGGTGTGTCGCCTCTTGTCTTGCACTTGGCGGCGGGAATCTGGTTTTGGTGATTTGGGGTGGCAGAGGAAAGGAACGACAGCAGGAAGCAAAAAAAGAATGCAGGATGGATCCATGCAAGAATTTGCCCATGTTGCATTTTGATATCGGTACCCATCTCGCTGTAAAGTATGTGCTCCGGGCCTCTGTGATGTGCAGATAAAGTAAAGGTTGTCAGACTTGGTGGTGACAGTGAGACTCTGATAAGCCTCCTCATCCATTGCTTTTCCTTCTTAGGAGCAGGATGTGGGTGAATGGGAAGAGAGAGAGTGCCCTGTGCTGTCTTGGCCTGATGACTGGTCAAATGGGCAAGGAGGGGCTTTCCGCTCCCTTAGCTATGTCTAAAAATAAAATAAAAATTCAGTACCAAGTTTATCCAGATTATTTTTAAAAAGCACCCACCTTGAATTTTAAGAACTCTGCAAATACTTCTACTTTAAACAGATCTCACGTGTATGTGCTGCTTTCTATATTTGCTCATTACAACAAAGCGGGACAAGGAGCTATATTGAAACCATATTTCCTGACCTATACTGATTTTATGGGGCCCCTCTAATTTTCACTGTTTCTCCAGATAGAGACTGCATGCTTCATGCCTGCCTTTATTCGCTCCCTGATGCTAGGAAATGAGTGAAGGTGGCTTTCCGCAAGAGCATAAAAACCAGGACTTTCTTATTTTCTGCTTTGATTTTTGTATTACTATTTTAATAAGGCTTTGTTACAAGTTGTAAACTGATTTGATCAGATAGTCTATGCTACCTTGAGAAAGAACTGTGTTTTCAAAGACTTAACAAACACAAGAAATAAAAAGGTTAAACCTTTGAAAGTTGCTAATATGGGGTCCATGATGTCGTCATGGAGATTTAGGAGAAGCAACCCTCCCTCCCCAGTTAAGGATTAGTGGTGGTGAAGTAGTCTGGAGTTGCAGCCTCTCACACAGCCTCCTATACCCTTGCATAACAATGGTTCTTTAATTAGAATTACTCACTAGACAGGTTAAACTGGCTTCGGTGTCCTTCACAGAGGCAAAGAGCAGCGGTCCAGGGTGCCCTGCCTTTAAGTTTGAGAGCCTCCTAAACCCAGAGTGTGCCTGGAGATGAAATTGATGAATTTAGTTTACCAGAATTGATGAGATTGGATTAGGCCCTGCCATCTCTTAAGGGATAATCCAAGGTGGGTGCTGAGCATGAAACCAGCAGGTGCTAGGAGATGGGCTTGACTCTCTTGTTTCTGAAAACATTCCGATAGCCAGTGTGGCGCAGTGGTTAAGAACCTTGGCCTATGTCCCGAGAGACCCGGGTTCAAATCCCTGCTTGGCTTTGAAGTGCCTGGCTGGCCTACCTCACAAGGATGAAATGGGGGAGGATCAAATGGAGGACAGGTGGGATACAAGCATAACAAATGAAATAAAAACGACCATCTTCCCCCATCCCCGTCTTGTGCCCAGGTCCATCGCAACAGCATGGGGCGATGCAGCTGCGACGTGAACCCCCTGTGCGCCCTCTGTGGCACTCGGAGTTCAGTGCCTCCGGAAATCCAGTACGAAGCCCCCTTGATGGAGCGCCTCTCTCAGCTGGACTCCTGCATCCACCCGGTTCTTTCATTCCCAGACGGTAAGCAAGCCACGTGCAGTTAAAAGGGTTGGTAGTGGGGAAAGAGGATGACATTGGGATTACCCCCCAATTTGCCCTCCCTCCAGCTTAATTTGGGAAACTCTATCCAGGTTGCAAGAGAAGCGTTCATTTTGTATATCCAGAAGAGGTTGGCTGGCTCTGCCTGGTATTGTGATCCCATGAAAGTGGAAGCTGTGATGTGCCATGGATGATAGTGGGTCAGGGGTGTGTGTGTGTGTGTGTGTGTGTGTGTGTGGGTGGGTGTGTTTGCCTGTCTTTTTGAGCCCACAGAGATAGGCACGCAGCCCACCTGGGTTGCAGAGCACAACCCCCCCTTTATTTTTTGGGATGGGAGAGGCCCGGGGAATGGCATTTGTGATTTTGGCTCTCCTGCGGTGCTGAGCTGCTTTGGCACCGATTTCCGGGCATTCCTGACCTAGTTTGCTGATGGCTTCTTCGCTGCATGGCATGCATGCTCTGCTGGAGCAGCCGTGGGTATCATTTGAACAGTTAGGCAAAGCAGGCGTCTTGTTTCCCTCTTCCCTCCGCTGGGCTCTCTCGCCCCACCGTACGAGTCAGTTCGTCAGAGGTTCTGCCCTCGTCTGGACGAATTGGTATCCGACTGGAAATTTCCAGATGACGTAATAACATCATAACAACCTTGGTGAGAGAGGATGTTAATCAGGGCTTTGAAAACTGCTAGGAGAGCGCCCTCTGCGGGCCCTGGGGAGACCTGCTGCTGCTGCTGCTCGGAAGCACTTGGCTAGATAGAGAGGAACTTCTCTGCTCTCCCTTTCTCTCCCTCTGTCGGCAGGTCACGATGCCGTTTTGGCGCATTCAGATGCTGGCTGGCAGTGCAGCAGGGAGCTTGAGGAAGAGTAAACTTAGACGGTTGCGTTTTCAGCTGGGCTTGGCAGATCAGAGAGAATTACTTGACTTAATGAGCAATGTGCTTGCTTGTACCTATTCATAAAATCCTTGCACCCCTGCAGTGCAAAACCCTTGGATACCTGTATATCCAACAGCTTGCATCTTGCCCCCTCCCCTTGTTTCTCAGCACACAGCCATAATTGCCAGCTTGTTATGGATACACTTGCTCTGTGTGGTTTCTCTCTCCCCCACCCTTTTCATCCTGGCACCTAAGCGTCTTTCTATTAATATCTCCAACTCACACCCTTTCTTCACCTGCTGTCTCGTTGCCCAACTGGCCTTTCTCCCTTAAGCCTCTGCCCTTGACCTCTGTGCCTGACTAGCAGCCTCTGCTTCAGCCTTCTCTGCTGGGTCCTGAGGAGGGACTGCGTGCTACTTGGAAAGCCTGGATAGCTCGGTTGATTAGAGCATGATGCTGGTAACACCGAGATTGCAGGTTTGATCCCTGAACGGGGCAGCTGCATATTCCTGCATTGCAGGGGGTTGGAATGGATGACCCTCAGGGTCCCTTCTAACACTTCAATTTTGTGATTCCATGAAATTCCCTTTCTTTGTATTTCATGGTATCTATGCAGATATATACACGGGTCCTTCATCAGGCACCCTGTATCAAGGGTCAGAGGGGTTGAAAAACTGTCTTATGATACAACTCCTTCCAAAATAAGTAAATTCAGCTTGCAGCTGTCATTCCTACTCGCTTAGGGGCAGGGGTAGCCAGCAGATGTTTTCGGACTACAGCTCCCATCATTCTAGACCATGCTGACTGGGGCTGGTGGGAGTTGGAGTCCGTCAACATTTGCAGGGTGCAAGCAGATTGAAGCAGCAGCAACACAGGGATAGAGCATCACTCAGTGGCACTGTAAGATGCCCACATGTCTGAATGTTCAAGCGTTTGAGGTCATTGCCCCTATCAGCTGGTGAGTGATCTCATTGTCTGGCTTAGCGCTCCTGTTGCTCCTTACCAGATGAAACAGATTGTGGGATGGAAATCATAGAGGAGTTTGAGACTACAGAGGCCTTCCTTGTGCTCTGAGAGCCACTACTTTAGGCATTCTCTCTGTCTCCTAGCGAGAAGTAGGGCAAGTTTTGAAGACACACACACACTTGCCATTTGTTTCTTGCCCAGAACTTACAAGCACAGCGACAAAAAACAAGTTACAATAAAATCACATGAAATATAAAAACACTTAATCATAAATGAAAGCAGTGCAGCATCCCTTATCCGACAGCCCACTTGAAGAACCAAAACATTTGAAGGGCACTGAGTTTGTGAAGGCTGATTCCAGGCTATAAAGATTATGAGCTGGTACCTTGAATTAGGCCCAGAAAAAATGAAAGGTAGCCGATACGATTGGCATAGTATTGGAGTGAAGCCACAGTTATAAATCTGGCTGCTGCAGGTCACGTCAGTCAGATACCTTCCGCAAATAATACAGAAGATAAAAGGCACTCTCAGTGTCTAATATGGACCAAGCCCTTTGTGAGCGTCTTAAGAGGTAGAAGTTGGTAGCTCAGCAGGCACTGCAAACTCCACTTCTTGTTCTTGAACCCCAACTTGTATCCTGAAATGTCACATTTCCACTTTACTTTCAATGTTTTGATTTTTGAGTGAGCTGAAGTTCTGCATCTTGTTGCGTCAGAAGCAGCCCCTTTTATTTTTCAAGCACACCTTTTTAATTGAATTATGAAGTTACTGTTTTAGTTTCATTACGCCTCTTTGAGATGACTGTGATTAAGTGTGGTGTACAGATTGTTGAAAAAAAAATTGTTTTATTTGCTTACTTCTGGCTTTTGGGAAGTGCAGGGGCAGTACTGGTTGTCTGCAAAGGGAGGGAGAGGGAGACGGAGGGAGGGAGGGAGCTGGCTGCTACAGACACTGCCTTATTCCCCAGTAGCCTATTTCCCATACCCAGCTTGCTTTCCCCCTCATCTTCCATATGTGCACTCCCCATGGCTCACTGTGTGCTGGAAGCAGCATAGATTTTGCACATGAACTCTACAGGCACACTTAATCTTGATTGCTTGGTGCAGAACTTGGAAGGGATCGTTTTTGGCACCCACAGAACACACAGAAGCTTCAAACTGGGGCCATCTTTAGATTGAGGCAGCATGCGCCCCTTTCTGACACAGCCAGTGAGACACCCATGATCCTGTTTACCCCTGCTCTTCTCCATTAACATGTTATTGGTTTTCTTTCAAGCAGTCTGGTATTCTCTTATTTGAAGGAATTTCAAGCTGCCTCTGGCCAGGGCAGAAATGTCATCTCTACAGGGAGTGGTGGTAGCACTGAGATGGCATGAAGTTACTTGTTCCATTTTTTGGAAGCCGTGTGCACCACTAGTTCCTTTTACAGTCTCCTGTGAGCCACCAAATGTACACGATGATGCTTCTGCGATAAAAAATCACTAGCACCTTTGCAAAGCTAAGCAGGGTCCAGTATGGTTTCAGATTGGATGGGGGACCATGTGTTGAGATGCCTGCATTGCAGGGGGTTAGACTAGATGACGCTGAGGGTCCCTCCCTAACCTATGACTGTGATTTGTGATCTCTTCGACATTCAACAAGGATACCTTTTATTACATGCAAGCGTGTAGCAATGCCTTCCCCTCTTGTTTTCTCCCGCAGATGTACCAATGAGCTTGCATTTCCAGAGCATGTTGAAATCCGAGCTACAGAATAAGCCCTGCGAGAAGATCAAGCCTCCCAAAAGGCTCACGCTGAAGCATCGGCCCTCCATGCCTCCCACCAGTTTACCTGACTCCGTGCGCAAGGACCGCCACAAGCTGGTTAACACCTTCTTAGCTGCAGCCAGTAAGTGTCCTCTTGTTGATTGATGTGTGTTGGCAAGAACTACCCAAATGGGTCCTGCTTGTGTCCCACAGCAGAGTGAGCTGCATGCATGGCTTCGTGTGAACCCAGGGCTCTGCCTTGGAACTGGTTTTAATGGATAGCCCTGGAACGTGTGAAATAGAAAACAAGGGAGTGTCTTTGAGCATGTGCAAACGACTTTCCCCTTTCCTAAACAATCAGCAGGCAGGCTCCCCACATCTCAGAATTTAGGCTGGGCTTCCAGATTAGAGGACATAATTCCAAGGCAGGCCTCCCCCACCACCAAAAAAAAATCTGTCTTTCTCGGTAATCAGCCTCTAGCAATGTGTCCAGTTTCACATAAGCTTTACTAGAGGCTGGCTGTGTAGCCTTAGTAGTAGTTTTTTTTTTAAAGGTTGACAAAGCATTTTGCAATGCGGTACAGCTGTAGAGAAGAGACTTCAGAATACAATTTTTAAATATTATATACCAACTTTAAAAGATTCCTTCAGGTGTGCAGTCAGCAATAAGGCAGTGGGACAACAAAGCATAGAGTTGCAGTCCGTGGGACAGAGAAGCTTTCAACTTTTGCCGTTTGGTTTCCAGTCCCATCGCCTGCTATGGGCTCCCTTGCCTGGCCCTGTGGAAGCCCCTGGCCCTCAGTAAGGAACAGGGAGTTTAACCTCAGTGGGTTGCTAGGAAGACGGCAGGGTGGCTGAGAAGGTAACCACAGTCAAGTTAATGAAGCGCCAAAGAGATTAAAAATGCAGCAGTTCTTGAAGAGCCATATGGCACAGTGGAAGGTGATCGGAAATAAATGGCACATCTCAAAAGATGCAAGGGCATCTCTTCATTCTGAGCCAAATGGTTATACCAGTTGCAGTAAGAGTGGGGGATTTGTGGCCCTCCAGGTGTTGGATTCCCAGCTTCCATTAGCTCTAGCTTGTTTGGCTAGCAGTCAGGGATGATGGGAGTTGTTGTCCAGATGCACTTGGAATGTTGCAGGTTCCTCATTCCTGATCTGATCCTTTGCATATTCTAACTTGCCACAGCTTTCAAGCAGAGGCCTTCATTCTGCTCCTTTTAAATGGCAATAGGAAGCATTGGATACCTTCAGCATACAGAGCCTATGTTCTACCATGAGCTTTCCCCCCTCTCCACAGAGGATAGGAGCAGAGCAGGTCTTTAAGGGTGTGCTTGGTCTTGAGCTGCCTGACCTGGAACAACCTTTGCCCAAACCCCACATGTGTGCTGGAGTCTGGGTGTGCTGGTCATGGTTGGTCAATGGGAAAGTCGCTTTGCACATGCTTATACGCACCCTTGATCTTTCATACGCTACAATGATGATTAAGTACCAGGACAGAGTGTGTGCATATCCCTTCCACCCTTTTTGTTTGGAGGAAGCCAGCTGAGCACCGGGAGCATTGTGCATAGGTGATTCAGTTGAAAAGGTAGGTCATTGCTTAAAATCAAGGAGGATGCACAGCCCTGTTCTTGATTTGCCAGAATGTTTTGCTATGGTCATGCAATGCCTTTTCAGACCCACTAAAGAATACATCTGGTAGACCTGGGGATGGAGTCCGAATGATGCTGGACTCCTGGCTCCCATTATCCCGGCCCATAAGCCATGCTGGCTGGGGGTGGCGGGTGCTGGAGTCCCGCGACGAATGGGAGGACCTCAAGTTCTCCCGCATCTATTGGCAGACTGTTCCAAAAATGTGGGCCACAAATGAGCTCTCAAGAATGGAAGCTGCTGGGCCTTTCAAAGGCATTGTAAGGCTTGGGTGTGTCTAAGGACATTGGTCTGCACTGTGTAGCTAGGCTTGCAGATCTCCTTTTCTTTCAGTGGATGCTCACCTTCCCCTCTGCCCACCCACCCTCCTGCTTCTCCAGCACTGCAGCCACACCGAACACACTGGCTGAAAAGCACCCTGCCTCTCTTCCTTCCCTTGAACGGTTCGAGACAGGCAGCTATGAGCAGTGCAACTGCATTTGCACTGTGCCCACAAGACGAACTAGGCTGCATCACGGGGAAAGAATAGACCTGTTTGGGTCGTCACTCAGCTGTTGGCTTGGGGGGAATTTCTGCAAAGAGCGCCTCCTGTCCTCTTCCGGCTGCAATGCGTGGTGTGAGCTCCTGGGGTCTTGTCTGGAGCTGTGCAGCAGGGCACCCGCCCGCCTCTTTTTGTGTGTGTGTGTCGGCTGCGCCCTGCGGGCCAGGAGAGAGAGGTGAAAGCAGGGCGTTTTCATGGCTCTCTTTCTGTTCCACTCCTCAGCTTGCTCGCATCACAAAACCGAGCCAGACAAGGCACACAGGCAGCCCTTAGGCGATCTAAGGGCTGCCCCCAAGGCCGAGAGAGCGCCAGAGCGCTCGCTTATCCTGACTCCAGTTCATGAGAAAAAGCGATTGCGGGACAGCTCCTCCGAGAGAAGCGAAGGTAGGCTGGCCACAGCCAGGTCTTTCCGGGGAGAGCTTGGGTTTCGCATTCCTGTTCTCGTCCTCCCCTCCAGCTTCGGAGAAGGGTGCTTGCTGCTTCTGGGGAATTAAAGGGGGCACGTAGTGTCAGATGCTGCATTCTGTCTTCTTGTGCACTTTTTTTTTTAAAGGAGGAAGTCATTAAAACTTCCTCCTTCAGGGAAGCAAGTCCT